TAGCGAGTAAAACTCTAACACAGAAAAGACCTGTCTGTGCTGCCCCAGAACGCCTCGTAGGGGGATTTCTCTTTTTCCATTGTTTACTTTACTTTACGTATTTCGGGTATAGTGACGTAACGAAACGTCATTTGGACCAATCTGCGGAGCCGTTCCGTTAAGTCCGCGGAGCCGTTACGCCCTCACACACACACTATCGGCGGGACGTTGCGAGGCTCGTTGCTGCGAGGAGCGGGACACTGTGAGCTGGCTCACTGGTGTGGGGTCGGCGGACAGCGAGACACCGCGGAACTCAGCCTGGGCACACCAGTGGTCTATTTATGTAATATAAAGTATAATTGATCTATAACAGAGTCAAGATCTCTGTATGACTTTAGTAAACTTCTGAATTGAATTAAAAAATAAGTGTGAACCAACAGTGCAGTACGTCCAGCTAGCTAGTTAGCGTCACTAACATCACGCATTTATCCTTATTATTTAACAAAAATGTACGTTTGAATGCCCCTTGGGTTTGACGTGTGTAACGTTAGTTAATTTAAAGTAAGTTAAAACCCAATACTCACATGTATTAGTGATTCCTCCGCTTGCTGCTGCTTTTAAATCCACACTGCTGGGGAGACCGGAAGCCATTTCATTTGAAAAAAACTCACTCTTCCCTGCGCGCATTGCACCCTGGGATATGGTAGACCGCGAAGGATACATCTGATGTATCCTTCGCGGTCTACCATATACGAGAAAAGAAGGCTGCATTCCTGGGCCGCATTCGGAGGAGTCTCGTCTTTATTTTTAAATTGGGACAGCCTTCTTTCGGCGGAAGTGACGTATGTGGTCTACAAATGCAGCCTCCGAAGGGTGCAGCCCCTGAATTGAGACACGGCCAATACATGTTACTAATCCTTACAGTGTAAGTGTAAGGCTTACACTTACAGTCATTGCTTTCTCTGACTTGACCATTTTACTATTCAGGTTGCATAGGGAACATTAATAGTAGTCTACTGCCATGCTATAGAGTGCCACAGTGACACGTCCTAAAACCCGGAAGTCAGTTAGCATTTTTACCACTTCCGGTTCCTTCGCCAAAAAGCAATGCAATGTCTCCATAGAATTTTGGAAAATACATGTAGCTCCAAATAAGGTCTGTGGTTGACACACATTGAAGAGACAGATCACGTTTTGTTCTACGACATTAAATACATCAGCAGTGACCCCACTGGTGATTTTTGAAGAGTTTACGTGTCTGAAAAACGATGGTTGTTAACAAGTGGCTGAATAGGACTACAGAAAACACTCCCGCTAAGTTTGTTTGTTTTCCCCCGCGTTCTGCTTGAAAGCAAGTACCTGCCTCCTGCAAACTGTTCAAACAAACGCTTCAACTTGTACCATTTTGAATCTGTATTTTTAACAAAAGTTGGCGTGAAGTTGAAGCAGCGACCCTGCTGTAGTTCCTTTATAGCATAACGTTAGCATTTTGCTTCTGGCGATTACATTTACGATTAGAAAATTATAAAAGTAGGGTAGACATGTGGATATTATCCGACTGAACAAAACGTGATCCGTCTCTTAAATGTGTCTCAACCACAGACCTTATTTCCAGCTATTTTCTAAAATCCTATGGAGAAATTGCATTGCTTTTTTGTCGAAGGAACCGGAAGGAGTTTACTTCCGGGTTTTAGCACTGTTGCACTCTATTCAGTTCACTTTCTCCTACTTCCTGTACCCGGTTTCCTGTCTAACCTTCAGTGCAAATTTTACAAAAATATAAATGTGCAAATATGAAACATACAGGTCAATATCACCTTGGTAGCTGAACTGTCAATACCCCAACACATATTCTTAGATAGAAAATACTTAATTTTTTGTTATTTAGACACAATTAACCCTTATAGTTTCATGTCTTGTTACATAAGACTAGATCACATTTGTTAAGTGTTATTATGGGAGAATTACGGTACTACTGCCTTATTAGGCCCATATTGAGCAGAGCATATTAAGACCAAAACTCATGTACAACAACTTCCTTAATTGCAATAAATAAGCACTAATTAGAGGGTTATTGAGGAAAAACTCTCAACTAATGGCCTATTACTTGTAGAATAAGGCATTGATAAGTGTTTTATAATGACAAATAAAGAGCCAATATACTGCTAATATGCATGGTAATTAACAACTAGTTGATGGTGAATGTGTGTACCTTAATATAAAGTGTTACCGGATTTTAATAAGAGACAGAAAAACACAGAGGAGAAGGGGAGAGCTGAGAGAATACAAGGCAGAACAACTAAGGACAACGCTAGCTGAATGTTCATGGTATCAGTCAGTAGGAGGAAAAGGCTTTACGGCCATGTCGGAGCGCCATTATTTAAAGCCACATTTCTCAGTAAAAAATTTTTGGAAGGTCAAAGCTGTTAAACTGTAACAAAACAGATATAGGAAAAAGCACATTAACTAATGCAGCAAAACACAGTACCTCAAGGAACCAATAGTGTCATTACCTTAGCAACACATGCCATCTTATCAAAATGTACTTTATTAATGAAGTATGACCACTGTTTCAAGACTACGGAAATATGCTGTGCTTTTACAAATGTGTGTCGACAGAAACATCAGCTCCATGCTTGCTGCACTGCAAATCCACACAAAGACAGGAAAACAGAAGGACATCACTCAGAGGCTGACCTGGGCAACCTCATATTCAGCATCATTCTGCTGGGCCATCATTTGAACATCCAGCTTTTACTCTTCATGGTCCAGGTCGGCTTTAGTGAGGCTGCTGATAAGAGTCCACACAAACCGTGAAGGACAGTGCAGAAAAACTCTTCAATGACACATGACTTTGGTAGAATATTGTTCAGAAATGTCTTTGAGTCCATGAATGAATTACTGAATGAAGGGAAAACTGATTATCATTTATTGCTCCACAGTAGACACTGTTTGCATGAAAAATCTCCCTCTTGATTAACATTCCATTTAAAGCAACTCTCAAGACGTTTTAGGGACATTGAAGAAAACTGTTACTATTCATGGACTCATGTGATCAATTGTGAGAAAATACTCCATCAAAGTGTCAGAGTTCACACCACGACCAACCAACCAACCTGGGTCAGTGAGGGAGGGGTGTGGCTGTGTCCCTCCATCGGACAGACAGCCATTCAGCCCCCGCTGCTGGTCCTCCCATGTCACTTCTACAGCAAGACACGCACGCATATTCAGATACACACACACACACATTGGATTGAATGCTACAGGAACCTAATGGATCTTGGATTATCATAGGTTTGTAGAATCATGGACAAAAAAAAAACATAACGTAAAATGAACATAAAACCTTTTAAAGGATATTTTATAGTTACAACAGAGGGCTATGTAAGGATTGGTAACAGAAAAAAAACCTCTTTGCCAGTTCAGAACTGAAATCATGGACAGCTCCTCGTCAAAGATAATGAGTTTTGCTCCATCTGCTGGTCAGCGGAGGTAACAGTCTATGAGGTTCTAAATTAGACCCTGCAATTCCTCTCTATAGCTTAAAAGGGAAATGCACAGAATTCTGGAAAAACTGCCCTTAATTCATAAGTGTAGTAATTAATTAAATAATTGCACAAGTTATGAATGACTGAAACTGCTTAAGGCAGTATTGTACAGTGTCCAATAATCAAATTAATCCAAAATAATTGGCGATGTCACAATGGCGACCGAGAGCCCTTCCTTTGTGAGGTGGAGTTGAGCAGAATGAATATCTATCAAAGTTAAGGGCAGATTATGGCCGGAGCGGGACAGAGCCACAGAGATCACAGCGACAGCACTCTGTACACGTTAACATCAGATTCAACTGCATACAACTCCTCATCATCACAGCAAATCAGCTCAGAAGCAACTAACCACACTCAGGGGATATAGTAGTTGAAATGGATAAAAGGGAAGTTTGACTACATAAATGTGCTTTAGCAAACAAGCGGGGAAGAGCCACCAAGAGAAGTGGAGAATCACAGATGCTAGTGAATGTCACACATGAGTTGTTGTGATTGTTGATCGAGAAAGCCGACACAGCAAAGTCACGCCGTCACACTGTTCAGAGGACTTGCCTTTCCTCCCGTTTACTGGCGGGCCCTGGGGTTTTTCCTCACAGTCTGCTGCTAGTGGAGGGACAGATGGAGGCTCGTGAAATGGTGGCGCTCTGAAACCCTACACTGGTGCCGTAAGTCACATTAATATGGCATCTTATACTGTATGTGCTCAAGCACAAGTGCACATACATCCACAGATTCACACAGAAACACACACAAAACGTACTCACTGAGGCCTGTCATCATGATTTGGTTATCAACTTATCTTTCACGTTTCAGTCTGGGATCATTTTTGGTTTAAGCCATGAATGAGAAACAAAAGTGCTTTTGTTGTTGGTACTTATGTCTGCCCTTAAGATGATGTGAATTTTTGGGAATAAATGACTCTTTACGGTATTCCAAATTGTCCAAAAAAAGATGTAATAGTGAATAGCCTATTACACAAACATGGTATGAGCTTTTTTGTTATTAATGTAGTACAAGGTGTGGTTAATGGCATGGTGCAATTTTTGTATGCAACCCAAACACCTTCCTTTAGCAGCATTTAGCCTGCAGAGTATCACTAGTCACTAGTTTCACTTCAACTTGAAAATGTGGCTTTTTAGAAACCACTTCGTTTTTAGCATCCACTCAGTCAGGCAGTGTTGAGTAATACAGCCGTGCCACACAGTCAGAGGACAGGAGCGCGCCACATAAACAGATGGGAAAGTAGGAAGTGGAAACTGTGGGGAACTCCAGCTCCTGCCAACAGTCGGGCCGTTCATTCAAGCTTGTGGATGAATGTACTGCGCTTCAACACATGCTGTACCTTACTCTCATCCAGAAACAAAACAATCTCCTGACTCTTAAAATATCTTAAGCTTATAACATATCCATTCCGAATAAAACATTTTTAAATAATAAGGAAAACACATTGGTTTAAAGGCTGTTTAAACACACCTGGGCCACCGTTTTGGGGTTGAGGTGCCACACAGTCCTCCCCTGCTCCGTCTTTGGAGATGCCACAAACGAACAGATATTAAACGAGACAGTTAGGTATGTGTATGAGGTACGAAACAACTCTGAAGCACAGCAACAAGGCAAAACAATACCAGCTCTATCAACAGTACAGCTCTTCTCTGTAAGCAGCAATAACCCGGATCCATTTCAGACAATTGCCACACACACACACACACACACACACACACACACACACACACACACACACACACACACACACACACAGACACACACACACTCACACACATACACACACACACACACACACACACATACCATGTATACATCACTTCATGGGACATTACATTGACTTACATGCATTTCCTGGAGACTTATCCTAACCTTAACCAAAACCAACACATGCCTAACCCTAACCCTAACCCTTACCCTTAACCTTACCCTAACCAAGTCTTCACCCTAAAATTAATGATTCCCCTCATGGGGACCTCCATTTTGTCCCCATATGGGAGGCGAGTCCCCACACGTGACTGTGTAAACAGATGTAGGTCCCCACAAGTATAGTAATGCTAGGACACACACACACACACACACACACACACACACACACACACACACACACACACACACACACCAGACATTAGCGTTACATAAGCTGAGTGCCATACGGCTCTGTGGGAGCTACAGCACAAGGTCAGATCAATACCTCCCCCCACCACACACTGTCACTGTCCTGAGAGCTAGAGCAGAGAGAGGGAAAGAGATACAAACACAAAGAAGGAAAGGAGAGAGTAGGGATAAAGTCCCTGACAAAGAGAAACAAGGAAATTGGGGCAAGAGTGAAGAAGCGACAGAGAGGTCCAGACAGAGAGAGCTTCAGAGTGATTCTGGCACAGATACAGAAAAGAGGCGGGACTGAGAGTCAGGAGGACGGAGAGAGAGAGAGAGAGAGAGACAGGCTTGTTGGCCGCTGTACAGAAGAGACAGGGAAGCCCTCATGGAATCTGACAGTGATGAAAGAGTTCTGCGAGTGCATTGACAAGTTCTCCAGAACTGCAGACGCTTTCTTCTCCTCTCTCTGTTTTTGACCCATGGCATTCCCTCAAATCCCCTGCAAAGCTCTTTGGCTGATTCAAACACACACGGTTTCATGTCACAAGAAGCTACGACATGTAACGTTTGTCAAAGGAGTGCTGAGGAACAAATAAGACTTCAAATGTCACTTTCAAGATGTCAGAAACCGTAATCACAGCCGTCATCACAGTTTAAATTCAATTACTCCCAGACAAATACACTCAAAACAAGGAACCAGGGAAGCAAAGCTAGACTACAGGATGGAGCAACACAACGGCACAGGACACAACACAGCTGCAGCAGAGGGAGTGCTCAGTAAACTGCCTCCCACCGTTGCAGACAGGGTTTTGGCCTTCAGAGTGAGGTGCATCTGGAGCAGGACGCCCACACTGAAAGACTAAACCCGTACATTCAGGTACAGACCTTCACAAGGCTCTGTTCCTTCGTCTCCATCTTCTGAGAGACAAATGGAAAAGGAACCGAGTAGAGATGTTATGGATGGTAAGGATCCTTGCATATTACATATGATCTATAGCCTATAATGAAAGATTCCAACAGCAAACCAACATCTTTCCTCTTTCCTCCTCCTCAACCCCAATGAAACAGTATCAATCTATATCATAATGAGGCACTAACCAGAGACACACCATCGCGCTGATAGACCTGTCTGTACGTTTCTTCAGCGACAGTAACCCTGTGATCCATAAATAAATAAAACCAGGTGACTTACTTCTCTCTTTCCCCGTGGGTGGGAGCTGTGGGAGTTGCCGTCCTCTTCTACTGGACATGGGGGTGCTGTTGGGACTGGTCTGGACTGATCCACTACGAGGATGCGCCCTACATGACAAACAGTGGTGGACAATGGGGTGAGAGAAAAGCATTAAGACAAGTTCTGATGGTGGATGCAGGGCCTAGCCGCGTCGCACCCACATCACAGTTTGAGACAAAGTAAAGGAGTAAACAAAAAATGGATCAAAGTAGTATGATGGGAGACTGATTAGAAGCAGTTATTTTAATTTAGCATAAAGCCTAATATGTATATGTAATATTATATTTACTTGTTTTTATGTATGTCATTTTGACGCTTAACTGGAGATAATCAGTAAAAGCAATTATTACAAAGTAGTAAGATCGTAATTGAATTTAAATAACTAATAGTGGGTATAAAGCTCCATGAAAACAGTTTTGGCATTGTTTCACATTAACATTTACAGTAACTTGTAAAGATGACTTTAAATCTACAGAGGGTCCTGGATCTCTAAATATAAAACCAATGCACACAGCAATGATGTTTGGCACATGGCATGGGAGTGGAGGGATACATCAACAGTAGGTAACTGAGCTGCAATAAAAAAAAAAGAAAGATGCCAGGTTTGAATCGCATGTGCAGTCGAGTCATCAAGCTGCAAGGAGAAAAGAGTTCAATGCAGGAACAGCAGACCAGTGCGACCATGCGTTCAGACTGTCCCCAAAAGGCTTTCAACTCAAAACAAAAAGAAGAACAGAAACAGAATGCCATCACAGGATCAAACGGCATCGGTTGATGTTAGTAATGAAATCAAACTATAATGTTGGCCCATCACTGCTATACTCACGCAAGCGTATGAGCAGTGTGCACTAAATTAAAAAAAACAGCACGCCGTCTACGGTGTCAGGATAGTCGTGCCTGGAACATGTGTAAAGAAAATACAGCACCGGTGCTTTCAGGGGACAAAACAGAAAGTGTCTAGAAAGGGTGGAGGGGTAGTCGTGAGGGGGAGGTGGGTGGGGTGAGGTGAGGTGGAGGGGTAAGCAGGGTATTGGGAGGGTGGAAGTAATGTTGCAGTGGGAGTAAAGTTAGTCAGGCTGGGGGAGGGGCTCATGGGACAGGGTCTTACTAATGGAGTTCTAAAATGGTTCTAGTGATGCAAGCATTTAGAAAAGGTGAAGCTGCTCTGGGGGCAGACATAATTATTTTTGATTTATTTAAACTCAGTGTTGGATTGAGAAAACCAGAGATTGTTTTGCTGTTACCCGAATTGTTAGCTAGGATTGTATATTAACAAGAAAAAACAGGTGTCAATGCTTACGAATACAAGAGAATGACTACTTTAAGATTTGACTGTAGACAGATGTCTAAGCAGGCTAACAAGCTTTTCTAAATACCCTGTTATGATGATATCTGGATAAGATAGGTAGCTGTACTAGTAGCGAGGTTAACTAACTTGGAGTGTATTTACAGTATGTTCCCCACCTCCACATATTAAAGGCTCAGCACTGCTTCAATCCTTTATTCAATATAAAATGTTAATTTCCCTAGGCCAATTTGGTGTAATCACCCACCTGTAGTTCATACCCTACAGATGTTTTCCTTTTTGAGATATTCGATTTTTAACATTCAAACTAAATCTGAAACGGCCATGTTTTTGTTCTTTTGCAATTTGAAATGTAAATACCCCTTAACAATCTCTTACGGATGGCCTTAACTAACATAGGGAAAAAATGATATATTGTATGTATTGCATATTCAGCTGGCTTTAGTCTAATAATGTAACCGTGTGTTTTTGGTCTACTATACAATATTTGAAGCTAATGTTTAAATTATCTCTCCCTCCAGAGTGGCTGTGCCTCAGGGAAATGATTGTAGGACTAAAACTCCAGTCTGCTAATGTGCTAAGATGGTTAGCGTCTCCGATCTGGGTCACACCTCGTCAAGGCAGGTGAGGGGGGGGCGGACCTCCCAGATGGCAGGGACGGCATGGACCTCATGAGCGAAGAGTCGTGGGGGCGTTCAGTGGAGCGCGAGCGGGACGTGGGGCGCTCTATAGAGGGCCGCTGGTCTGCAGAGCGGGACCTGCTGTGATACTCGTGTCTATCCATGGCTCCGTGGTTCCTACAGAGGTTATTGAGAGATAGGCAGGCACTCAGTGGGGGCCCCAGCAGGGCCGGGACCGTATGTTTGGCAGGGTTTGGAAGCAAAGACATTAGCTCCATCCTCAAAACTTCTGTATGTGTTAGAGTAACAAACCTGTTACTTTGCTTGTTTTAACCCCTTTGCTACAGATCCTATTATCTACCTAGGCAGGCAATCAGAATGAACACCATGTATGCTTCAGTTAGGGATACATTTGCATTTCACTGTGATTGCACTGTTTTGAAATGCATCTACAGTTGACTTGATTTTCACTCTCATGGACTAACAAAGCATCCATGAGCAGATATCTGATTGATATCATGTTTGAATCATGTTAGTAAAGCCTCCAGCTGGTTTTGTTAACTGGTCTTCCTTAATGTCCAGTATATAGTATTTGCATATTGTTTGCAGAAAGTTGACTAAAACAAGTAAAAATACAGATTTGGTGGTTTAAGTGAATTGGCAAATCTTAGTGAACAGAAAAAAGCAAAGTTGATCGTGTGTGGTGAATACAGTGTAAGGTGGTGCAGGAGCTTGTGCTGTCTCTACGTGGTGGCTGAGTGTGGATTTGTTTAAGGTAGAGTGAAATGTGAGGAATAGTGAGTTGTATCTGGACATTACATTTGGCTAGTTATAACTGGTATTTTTGGCACAGGGAGGATGAAGGTTGTTAATCCTTAGAGCTGGAGGGAAAAAGCAGGCGAGGTTTCTCAACAAGTCAAAATCATTGATATTGTACATGGATATTGTTGAACCTTAACAGAGAGAAAATAAGATGAAAGAACATTTTTATAGAACCACAATACACTTCTCAAATAAAATAAATAATACAAAAAAGGAAATATTCAACTTTGGAGGTTAAGATCATGCATGTCTGTGTATCTGTAATTGTAATGTAACGGTTTTAAGCTAAACCATTTGACTATATGTATTCTAAAGCATAGCATAGCCTTCTACAAACAGCTGGTAGCTGCATCTAAAAAGGCTAACAGACACTAACATATTTGTCCTAAATAATGACCTTTATGTCTGATATTGTGGGATAAAACGTTTGCTTCTGATTCCTTTTAACTATTTGAATTTTGAATTCTACCATGTCACAGTCTTGTAGTGCCTATAGCCTTTGCAGTATGAAACATTGTCCAGTAGAGATGTCCTTTTTGTCTCAAAGCAAAACAAAGGCTCCTCCTTCAGTGACCTTAGGAAGCCTTTAACACTCATTACCTTCATGTATTTGCAGTGATGCTAGTAGATGCAGTAATCAAGCTTCTCATTGGGTGGAATTTGATGAATATAACCATGACATTCACATACTGCGCTTCGGCGTAGCACTGGATTCAAAACATTATTAGTGTGTACTTCAAAAAGCTGCTGTTTGAATGTGTGTGAGCGGCGGGCTCATGCACTTTAACAACAGAACCATGACAAACATTTGCTCATGTTCTGGAGGGATATCACCTAAACTAAGACACTTGCCAACAGGCTCAGACTCCACTAATGCTCTCCGTTTCTTTTCCTTTTGTAACTTTATTCTGCCCTCATTTCTTTTCTCAGCGTTGCTTTTACTCTGCGTGGGTGCAGACAGGAGCAAACAGTATCTGTATGAAGAAAGGAGGGGAATCTACTCTATTCCTCCGTGGATCACTGGGAGGTGAGCTACTATCTCTGTCGTTTCAGAACAAATGCAGAGAGGGGGAGAGAAAAGAAGAGGGAGGGCTCTTGTTAATGGCTATCTAGGCTGTAGGCTGAGCCTGTAGGCTGAGGCTGTAGGCTGAGCCTGTAGGCTGAGCCTGTACTCGAACCAAGCTGGGCCTCAGGGAAACTTTGTGACACTTTAATAAAGTCAGTCAGGCTCTCGGGCTGGTTTCTGAGGACTCATCACTTTTTCCCTCCTGGAGGGGGGGGGGGAATGGCACAAACGTCACAGTATTCCTGACTGAAAGCCAGATGGCAGAGGGTGAAAGATTGAAGACAGAGAAAAGTGGAGTCATTTACAGTGTTTCTCTGGAAAGGGGATGATGTGAGTTATTTCTTGTTATTGGTGCATCATGACGCTGGCGTGGGTCCTAGGGATGGATGGGTGTCAGCAGGCCTTTCTGTGGGTGCTTAAAACGGCCTGGCAGCCCATTTTGGCCAGACACAAGAAGCCAAAGGCCAAACGGAGACTTTACAAAGCTACTGTGCAGCCCAGAGCAATGCATCATAGATGCCATTGTATGGCGAGCAACAAGCAGCAACCAACAGCATGTAAACAAAAGGACAACACTAAAATTCACACACACCACTGAGCAACATTCTGCTGTTGGTATAATGTACATGACACCAAAGATAAACAAGGACATCAACAAAGACACAGTCATGTGCTGGCCAGCCCTAACAACCAGTATACATAGAGCTGGCCTCGACAACAGACATAGCTCAGCCTCAGCATCCAGAGGCAGTTGTGTATTATTATTTGACATCTACACAACGTCAGAGCTGTGATGACACTTTCACAAAACCGATATCAGACAGGATATCATTTTCCGTCATCACAAGTACGATCACAGATAAATTAAAGACGGACGGGGGACAATTTGAGGAGACCACAACATGGCGGATGCACAGATGCAGCAGCCGTGCATGTCAATACCTCTCGTAGTCATAGTCCGAGGAATAGGCGCCCTCTGAATGGGCGCGGGCCATCCTAGTGGAACGCAGTAACCTGACTGCTTCCTCTCGGCAGATAGGGTACACGCGATGGTTGCGGCTGGCGGAAAAATATCACAACTGGTCAGCATGGATTTATTCTCCAGAGAAAAGGGGAAATAAAATAAAAACAATAACCTGCAAAGGAAGAAACCTTGGACAAGAGCTTTTGCAGTCCCCTATAGACTGTAGGTATAAGGTATTCCCATGACAGCCTTTTCCATTTGGTCTCTATCTGAACTAACACTTATCCCACAGATCCACGGTATTGATAAACTGAAGGCTAACCTACACATCTATACTGTGAATGAACAACCTCTGCTGGACAAAACTTCAAACCATAGATCACTTATTCATTTTCAGAATTGCAATTGTCACTCTATTTGCTCATCTAGGAATCACACGTGACACATTTTGAGAAAATGAAAGGAATGTTTATGACTGAGTTGATGAAAAGAGAAAATAAGCAATGCTTACACTGGATGGATTAAGTGTATGGTCAATCATTTTCTCCATTTTCTGTATCACCGAAAAGTAATACACATTATGTACATAGTTCATCTTCAAAATGCTTAACCCAACATAACACCGATGGCACTGACAATGGTCATGTGAAGTAGCCTCTTTAATGCATCCAAAAACATATTGTGCGATGCTAACCTCGTTAACTTAGTTCAATACATACTCACTCCCAACTTCTTAGCTATGGGCCTTTACTGTAGGTACCCCTCTAGCATTTGATTCGAAAAATGAACTTCCGATGTAGGTTTTTCGGCTTTTTAGATGAACTTGATTAGGTTAAGCAACACAACTTCATGGTTAGGCTTAATAGAGATCATGGTTTGGGTTCAAATAACCACATTTAACATCCATCGTTGTTTGATCTCAGATCTAAGCAGAATTTCACACTCTTCATACCACCTCTGTTGTTCTGATTGTCTAAAAATGCAACCAATGCATTTCAATTGGTATCAGACACAAAGGGACACTAAGTAAGAGTCACTTTTTTGTCACTATTAAGTTGGGAGTACGAACAAGTTGGGTAGTTCGGCTTAGTGTCACTATTAAAGTAAGGATCTAAAAGTGCATAGAAAACATGCCATCCTGTCAGTGCCATATGTTCATTGCAGATGGGAGTTGAGAGGGTGTTGGGGTGGAAAAGTGCAGAAATAAGGCTTCATGCATGCTCAGGAAAAGTCTACCTGGGGTCCTTTTGAGGATCATCAATAGGCTGAGTATGTCTGGTTCGAGGTAGGGTGAGAAAATGGCTGCAACCACATGGAAGGAGGAGAGAAGACAGAGATGGATCTGAGATGGCGCCGAGGAAGAAGCGGAGGAGGAGGGAAGGAGGGAGGAATAAAGAGAGACAGAGAGAGAGAAAGGATTCAAGATAGACAGAATCATAGGTAGACAGACTGAGAGGTGAGGAGACCGAGGGAAGAGAGATAGAAAGATACTAAGAAAGCTTGTAGGAAGGGTTGATGTCACAGTTTCAAAGAGGGGAAAACCGGCATGTAAGATTAGAGAGGCTGAGAAATTGAATGGTGAGAAGATGTCATCCTCAGCGTTACAACACACACAGATGAAAGCAGTGCAGCGAACACACCAGCAGCATTCAGGGAGGAGAACTGAACAGGAAAGTCCTGAGACACCTGAACCTGCTTGGTGTCACTTCTACTGACTGATTAACATCAGGAACATTACATAGATATCTTCCTTTTACAGACACAACATTTCAAAAAGTAGGATAATACAGGAATACAAAATAAACCTTTTTTAATAAAATAGCTGCCTCACGAAAAAAAGCTATACAGATTCCAGAGGAGATTTGTCTGTATTGAGTTCTGGTGCCTTTCCAAATTCTCCATGACTCATTTCCTGTGTTGTTTTCTACTGTTTTCAATAAATAACTGGACGCTGTTAATTAAAGCAGCTGAAATACACTCAAGTGAGCACTGTCCCAGACAATTTAGATAAGTGCATTTTCTGCATCTGACACTGATTTAGGCCAAGCCTCAGAAATATCAAATAAAGTTAATTGGACGGGGGAAAGTAGCTGCGGCCTGGCAGTGCCAAGGCTATGATTGGCCTCTTGGAGCTAGATTTTCCAACCCCCACAGAAAGAAAGCGCTGATGGAGGATAACTGACCACTTCGCCTTGACCACCTTTCCATAAACATAGCGAGATACATGCAAATAATGAACAGTGTTGTACAGCATTTGTAGGACAATCTCCAAATGTTTCCTTAGCCTAAATCTAAGAGGGAACAACCTTATTGTTCATTAATATTCTTATGCAGTGCAGTCTTTACCATGTGTGCGGTTCATGTAGGCCTTAACTGGGATGCAACCTTTCTGATAAAGAAGTGTATGCTGGTCTGGTACAAGCTATTTGCTGAGTTTGTAGGATATGATTTCTCTTTTGGACGTTTGGAGTATTACTGTTTGTCGACATGATGAAGAGAAGATCAAGCAACTATTAATGTAAAGGTAATCACACATCAGTATCAGGTAACATAGTATGGTACATTTGTTTCAATGGAATGGACAAAGTTGTTCATTAAAGGGACAGTTTACACAAAACTCAAAAATATATATTTTCCCTTTTACGTTTTAGGGAATCAATATTGTTTTGGTGTATGTTGCCAAGTGCTGGAGATATCCGCCATACAGATGTCTGCATTATCTCCAATTGAATGGAACTACATTTTATGACCCGGTAACTCAAGATAATCCACAGACTTTGTTGGAAGCAGTGTGCATCTACTGAAGACAAGCAGCTTGTCTGGGTACAGTGAGAGGTTATCAAAACTGGCATCCTCCTTGGCTGTGCTGTAACGTTAGCTACTGTAGCTCAGGTGACTCAGAAGAACCCCTCTTGCTTGAGTATATGCACGCTACCTTGTGCTCTGTGATGCAGTAGGACAAAGGGTTTCAATGTATTTTTGGCACCACAAGGAGAAACAGTAGGAAGGAAGACATCTCTAGCGTTGATATCTGCAACCCACACCGTAACAATCTAGATTGATATATAGCACTACAGGTAAGAGGAAAATATGTGTTTTTATTTTTGTGGCAAGTGTCCCTTTAAAAGCAGGAATATAAGAACCCATACACAATATCAGCGAGTTTAAGGCAAATGGCATCGAGCGTATTTCGTGCACACACACCTCCCTGCATGTTTACTCATCAGCCCCCACTTGTGCCTGTCAGCATTTGTTCCATGCATGCCAGCGTATGCACATGCATCTACTGCGCACAAGTGTAAGCTGGAGTGTGTGTGTACCTGTCAGGAGAGTAGTTATCTTCAGACACACTGTGGTGGTCCACTCTAGTGGAGGAGCTGTACTGAGAAGGCCTAAGGTCAAAGGCGGGGTCCAGACTTCTGCTGTGTGACAGAAGTAGACTGGATCACCCCTCGTGTTCTTTACACTCTGCCCCCTATTGGCCAGGTGGAAAATCTCCTCATGTTTACGTGAGGCATTTTGGGTTAATCAAGAAATACTGCATAACAAGGGGTTGTTATAGCATTTGGAAAGCAGTACAATGGCTTACCCCTAAGGATCCCTGAGAATGGAAATGAATGGATCCTCTTTCAAAATGTGTTTGTTAATAAACGATATTAACAAATATAAAAAGTGTATATATAAGTCATAAAAAACCTTAAATCCAATATGAATAGTAATAATAATTAAGTAATAATACTTGTTAATGATTTTTACACATCTGGTCATCCTTCGTGGAAGAAATTACACATCTCTCATAAAGAAAGCATTCATTTTGTATAGAAATGTTTATATAAAATAATAGAAGCACCTAAATGTCATATAATATATGTTTGGTCATCTTACATAAACACACACAAGAAATGCAGCTAAGTAGTGGACTGAGTGTAGTTACCTGGAGGGGGGGGGGACGCTGGGAGAACGCGACCGCGCCCGGTTAATGTCAGCTGAGTGGGAGCAGTGGTTCGACGACATCACCTGATCAGGGACAGACAACGTGGAGCTCTGGAAGTCTCGGCCATTAGACCGGTAGTCTGTGAAGGATGGAGAGAGGAAGGCAGGACACAATTAGGAGGGGAAGGTTTTTCAGAAGGCTCTGTATACATATACATGTAGTGCCAACAGAATACTGCACTGGTGGATTATAAGACAAATACAACAGTCATAAATGTCTTTGCTAATTAACAACTTATGAATTCTCTTCACTTTGAGCAGGTGAAGAAGCCAAATCTGGAGCATTTGATAATGAAACATGATAACAGCTAATGATGCCGATTCGTAATGGAACAACTAAACTTTACAAAATGTGCACTAAAAGCTAACCTGCACAGGCACTGCTTTTAATTTAGCTGAGTCTGAGTCTATATTCGAAAATTAAAAAGACTACGTTTCAATGAAGTTGTAATTTCTATCCACAGTTAACACTGTGCATTAAACATGAAAATAGCCTTTAAAAATCAGAAACATTATAATGAATTTTCTCTGCAGGGCTGATTGGTCCGTTGAATTTGAAAGAGTTCATTAACCGATAATCAGACATTACTAGCAGCCACGGTTAAGGTCAATGCTTAGCACTTTTAAAGTTGATTGATATTCAATAGAGTGCATAGCACATTCAAATGAGTTAAAGAACAAATCAAAAGTTAAAAAAGAAGGGAAAGGTAGGAAAATGTGGAGGTAGTGGTAAGGAAATGACGACCTTCACTTGGGGAAGTTGGGGAGTAGACTTTTTTGCATTTGTCAAATTGAATGATCCACATGTGTACTGTATGTACCAGATAATAAGAAACATATAAAGCGCAACCGACAACTGTTATTCTACCCCATTTAAAGGAAATACAGTCAGCAGAGTTATTGCAAATACTGCGGGGTAAACGGAGATGTGTTGGAGCCTGTTTAGAGAGGGGGGTTTCACCGGAGCTGAGCAAAGGGGTATTCCCTTCACTGAGGATGAAGGTGACTGACATGGTGAGGGGCTGATGAGAATGTTAAAGAGTTCTCTGTGGCCTGCATCTGCTTATAGGGATGCGAAACAATAATACATGCTAAATCAATAGCAAAAGCATCTCCTTCCTGCAGTTTACCAACAGCTTCACTACAAACAAGGTCCCCACCATTTCTGTGATTTTCAAGTAAAAGAAGAAAAAGGCTGGTTATAACTGAGAGAGAACAGACTTGCCAACATGGTAAAAGCGATCCTCTAACTTTTCATTATGCGTTGCCGCCTATCTCAGGATCATTTCCTTCAAGGTTGATATCTCATGTGTGGAAATGAAAGTTATTTTCTAATATTCTTTCTGCTTGTCTCTCTGGCTGGTTACAGCGGAGCAGAGCTGGTCTGATGTGCAGCGTGGGCGTGCTGCTGGAGCCTCGGTGAGAACAGCAGAACAGAACTAGATCTCAGCGCTGCCTCTGTGCTGCTGCTGCTGCTGCTGATGGCTGCAGCATTTCACACCGCTAATATGGTGTATATACATACATAATAACCTAATAAAAGTAAATGTAACAACTACTACAGTGCAACAAAACAGGAATATTAAATGTGGTCTCTTAAACATAAGATCTCTAGCATCTAAAGCAATATTGGTAAATGATTTAATATCAGATTATAATATTGATATATGCTGTCTCACTGAAACTTGGTTGAGACATGAAGAATATGTCAGCATAAATGAGGCCACTCCACCCAGCCATATCAATACTCATATTGCCCGAGGCACGGGCCGAGGAGGTGGAGTTGCAGCAATCTTTGACTCAAGTTTACTTATCAATACTAAACCAAAATTAAATTATACCTCCTTTGAAAGTCTTGTTTTTAGTCTTACGCATCCGACCTGGAAAACTTTGCAGCCAATCTTATTTGTTACAGTGTACCGTGCACCAGGTCCTTATTCAGAATTCTTATCAGAATTCTCTGAGTTTTTATCAACTTTGGTTCTTAAAACAGATAAAGTAATTATCGTAGGTGACTTTAATATTCATGTTGACGATGATAAAAATAGCCTTACTGTTGCATTTAACTCTATATTAGATTCTGTTGGTTTTTGTCAGAGTGTAAATAAACCAACCCACTGCTATAATCACACTCTCGACCTTGTTCTGACTTATGGTATTGAAATTGAGCAACTATTAGTCGAACCGCATAATCCTGCTTTATCCGACCATTTCTTAGTAACTTTTGAAGTACTGTTACGAGACTACAAAGCATTAGTCAAAAGCTCCTGCAGCAGAAACCTATCTGTTAGTGCTATAGCCAAATTTAAGGAAGAGATTCCACCAATACTTAACTCGATAGCATGTCTGCATGTAAGGGAGGAAACTTATACAAAATGTACACCACCCCAAATTGATCATGATGTTGATAGTGCTACAGATGCGCTGCGAATAAAATTAGATTCTGTTGCTCCTTTGAAAAAGAAGAAAATAAAACAACATAGATTAGCTCCATGGCATAATGCCGAAACCCGCAAAATAAAGCAAAAGTCGAGACAACTTGAAAGGATATGGCGTTCCACTAAACTTGAAGAATCTCGTTTAATTTGGCATATTACTCTCAATGAATATAAGAAAGCACTGCGTAAAGCGAGAGCAGCCTACTACTCTTCATTAATAGATGAGAATAAGAATAATGCAAGATTTCTTTTCAGCACTGTAGCCAGGCTGACAGAGAGCCACAGCTCGATTGAGCATTCTATTCCCATAGCACTCAGTAGTAATGATTTTATGTGCTTTTTTAACGATAAAATTGTTACTCTTAGAAACAAAATTAATGACCTCTTGCCTTTGACCAGTATAGTGTTATCAACAGCTCCCGGAAACGTAAGTTCTAATATTACACTAGATAGTAAACTAGAATGCTTTTCAGCCATAAACCTTGAACAATTAAATTCAATGATTCTCTCTTCTAAACCATCAACGTGCATGTTAGACCCAATTCCAACTAAGCTGTTGAAGGAAGTTTTTCCATTAATTAGCACTTATTTATTAAATATTATGAATATGTCTTTATTATCAGGCTATGTTCCACAATCATTCAAAGTAGCAGTGATAAAACCGCTTCTTAAAAAGCACAACCTCGATCCAGAGGTTTTAGCCAATTATAGACCTATTTCCAATCTTCCGTTCCTCTCAAAAATTCTTGAGAAAGCGGTCGCAAAACAGTTGTGTGATTACTTAAAAAACAATGATTTATTTGAAGATTTTCAGTCTGGCTTTAGAACACATCATAGCACAGAGACAGCTCTGGTTAAAGTCACAAATGACATTCTAATAGCCTCTGACAAGGGACGTGTCTCTATTCTTGTTTTGCTCGATCTCAGTGCTGCATTTGATACTATCGACCATGATATCCTATTGCAAAGACTAGAGCACTTAGTTGGCATACAGGGAACTGCTTTAGACTGGTTTAGGTCCTATCTATCTGAACGCTCTCAGTTTGTACGTGTCAATGATGAATCTTCCACGCAAACCAAAGTTAGCCATGGAGTGCCACAGGGCTCAGTGCTCGGACCTATTTTGTTCACATTATATATAATTCCGTTAGGCAATATTATAAGGAATCATTCTGTACATTTTCATTGTTATGCGGATGATACTCAACTATATTTATCAATCAAGCCTGATGAAATTAATCATCTAAATAAAATTCAAGACTGCCTTAAGGATTTAAAAACGTGGATGACCTTAAACTTTTTGATGTTAAACACGACCAAAACTGAAGTTATTGTACTTGGCCCGAAGAATCTACGAAACAAATTATCTAAGGATATACTAACTATGGATGGCATTAATTTGGCCTCCAGTGAGACTGTAAGGAATCTTGGTGTTATATTTGATCAGGATTTATCCTTTAACGCCCACATAAAATCAATTTCAAGGACCGCCTACTTCCATCTACGTAACATTGCAAAAATCAGGCATATCTTGCCTCAAAACGATGCAGAGAAACTAGTCCATGCATTTGTTACTTCAAGGCTGGATTATTGTAACTCTTTATTATCAGGGTGTACTAAGAAGTCAGTCAAGTCGCTTCAGCTGATTCAAAATGCTGCAGCTCGTGTACTAACCAGAGTTAGGAAAAGGGACCACATTACTCCTGTTCTGGCTGCCTTACACTGGCTCCCTGTAGAACACAGGATAGAATTTAAAATTCTTCTTCTCGCCTACAAAGCCCTTAATGGGCAGGCGCCATCTTACCTTAAAGAACTCATTATACCCTACTGTCCTACTAGGGCATTGCGTTCCAAGAATGCAGGGTTGTTGGTTGTTCCTAGAGTCTCTAAAAGTACAATGGGAGCCAGAGCCTTTTCTTATCAAGCTCCACATTTGTGGAATCAGCTTCCAGTTTGTGTTCGGGCGGCAGACACCCTATCCGTTTTTAAGAGTGCGCTTAAGACCTTCCTTTTTGATAAAGCTTATAGTTAGGGCTGATTAGATTCAGCCCCTAGTTTTGCTGATATAGGCTTAGTTTGTCGGGGGACATCTTACTTCTGCCTTCTCTCTGTCTATACCTGTTTACTCTCATGTTCCGATTAACCCAGCTTCCCCAAATGTCTTTCTTTTTGGTTTCTATATACGCCGGGATCCGGAGTCATGGATGATCCTGCGCTCCTCTGTCCTGGATCGCGAGCCCTGGATCTTGAGTCGTGGCTGTGGTCCTGGATCATAGGTCCTGGATGGATATCCTCGTGGATTCATCTTCCTATTATACACATGCATTTCCAAACATTTGGACTACCTATGTTGCAAATGTATTATCTTTTCAATTTACACACGGCATCTATTGCACGTCTGTCCGTCCTGGGAGAGGGATCCCTCCTCTGTTGCTCTCCCTGAGGTTTCTCCCATTTTCCCCTTTAAACTGTGGGTTTTCTTCGGAAGTTTTTCCTTGTACGATGTGAGGGTCTAAGGACAGAGGGTGTCGTATTGTCATACTGATATTTTGTACAAACTGTAAAGTCCACTGAGACAAATGTAACATTTGTGATATTGGGCTATATAAATAAACATTGATTGATTGATTGATATATGATATATATAACAGCATTGTTAGCTGTTTAGACCTAGGAAGGATTTGACAGATGGTGGCATGTAGGAGGTAAGGCTAAGGTGGACAACATTTAGCTTTAACTCATCATTATGAACTACATGTAAGGGCTGTAGAATGATGACACCGTAGGCGTTCGGCTTGTTACTTCACTTTCAGGATCTAACTGAGGCGACTGAAAAAAGCTAACAGTAAATATCTTCATGTAGTCGAACAACCAAAGTAATTGTGTGCCCACAAAAAGTGTTTGGATGTCATTGGAGCCAAAGATCTAAGACTAAGCTAAATGAATAATATCAGGTGTTTTATCGTAGCACTGAGAGCTCTGGGATTCTGCCAGATGTTTCTTGATTTGGACAGTGATGGTAGCCAGGCTGCTAGCTGTAGCTATGTTGCTAACAATGTAAAACAAGTAGACTGATCTTCGTGTTGTATATACAAATTATAATATTACAATAGGTTTCCACTTTGAAATAAAAACTAAATTATAATATTCCCTGGTGAAAAATCAGATTTAAATATAAAAAACCTTTTGTTACTTATCTAGACTTTGTCATTTTGTTTCAGATTTTAAATCACTTTTAATTGTTTTAATTCACATGCACTCTGACTTTAATATATTACCTGTTATTACTCCAACACCATCTTCACAATCATAGTCCGAGATCTCACTGTCACTTATCCTTTGGGATCCTATGAAATAAAGAGAAACCAGGAGAAAACAGGAGAAGAGGGAAAAGTCTTTTTTAGTACCGTGGTCATTTATGAAGCAGGGTTTATTTGGATTATGCCTCCCTGGATTGAATGGTTACACCTAATGAACTCACGTCACCACACCCAACAAAAACAACAACTGTTCAAGCAAGAGCTTTTGGAGTTCAAATATGTGTCAGCTTTAACAAAAGATATCTGCATTGTACTGCTCAACAAAAACAAAAACAGCAGATCTCCATTTTGAATCTGGGGCATTTTGAATGACACATTCCATCATTCAAAAGACATTGGAAGATGGGGGTGGGAGAAGTGATGCGGCGTTACAGATCTTTCTTCATCTTCCCCAGAAACCTTATCGTCCCTCTCTGCCCCTTCTCTTTAAAGTACGACCCCCTCCCTGAAGCCCCCCATCGCTTTCAATGTTCAGTCATCTTAAATCAACTGGACAAGTGTGCTTTATCAGAAATGACAAGTGCTGCACTCTGGCAGTGCCGCTCCCCACCTCTCATATCAGTTGGCTGTAGACTTTTTACAGCTGTCAGCTCTTTCACCTCACACTTACACTAAGGCCCAGAAAATCATCCTGGTGGGGGGGGGGGGTACAGTGAAGCTGCTCTGAGTAACACTACAGTCAAACAGTACGGTCGCCTAACGAATGTAAACCAGCATCTGAGCACATAAGGGGGCCATCAAATGGTATACTTTGGAGCTTGGTCAAGGAAATACAACGCTCTTTTTGAACGGTTATCCGATGTATATCACGGCAATTTCAACAACATATTCACATTCAACCCTCCTATTGTCTTTGTTTCCCCCCTTACTTTGGTGTTCGCGGTCAAATTTGACCGGTCCTGTTTTAACTGCTATTACATTAACACAAAAACCATTCATCATCACCAAATTTCATTTAACACCTTTTCAAACTGTACATATTGTATCAGACTACTGATATAAATGAAGAACTGTAGTAAATATACAAAGAATAGACACATAAGGGGGGGGGGGGGCACACATCTAGAGTATGTATGTGTGTGTGTGTGTGTGTGTGTGTGTGTGTGTGTGTGTGTGTGTGTGTGTGTGTGTGTGTGTGTGTGTGTGTGTGTGTGTGTGTGTTTTATCTGATCCGGATGGTTACTAATTCCTTTTCTTTATGGCGGTCATTTTTGACCGGGAACACCATGGTGTTACAAAGTTGACTAAATCATCCAAAATTCAATGAAAGTGGTGATCAGCAATTTGATATGTTCAAATGTCTACTGTGAAGGATATCATAAAGCCTTAATGCAATCGAATGTAAAACAAAAAAGTTATGATTGATGAAAGTAGTAAATCGGTCAGATTTCACCCAAAGACAACAGGAGGGTTAATATCCACAAACACAAGCCAAGCAGGAAGGGCTCCAAAATATTGTTTTTTTTCTTCATAAAAGTGGAAATGTTCCAACAACAAAATTAAAAACAAACAAGCGCATCACAGAGGAAAATCAAGTGGTCAGAATCAACGTCTATTGGGACTGGCATCAGGTTTGGTAGGATTTGGTTTTGGGTTGCAGGACTCCCTGTACAGTACATGCACGCTTTGTGGAAGAGAAGGGGAGGAGAACCAGGGTCAGGGACAGAAAAACACTCAGATACTCTACAGAGCAGCACTGCCTGTGAGAGCAGGGGGCCTTTACCTGAGTTGTATGAATAAGAGCCTTTGTCTGTGAAAGCAGAAGCAATAAGGTTGATGTGACATGCATGATAAAGGCAAGATATGCATAAACTGCTGTACAAGCTTACAAAAACTACAGCAGTTAAAAAAAACAATGTATTCTTTTAAATCAGGACATTTGCCAATTACTTATTATTAGAGATTAGAAAGATGATCAAGCCTAAATCTACTATATTTAAAGATATTCATTTTTGTTACGTGAGCATGCCAGTTTGTGTCAACAACAATGTCTGCTGTCAAGATTGTTAAAATGGTTTTAAAGTGTAGACAGACAATATAATGTACTGTCTTTGGTAAAAGTCAAGTTATTCATTTAACTTGGTGTTGAATTGGGTTTGTTAAATGTGTAGCCTTTTGAAACACACTTCTTTAGAGGTGTGTGACATACTGTGTGATTGACAGGGGGTAACGTACTCTGGAGCCGTCGTGTGGGGCTCTCTCCGTGGAGCTGCCTGCGCTGTGTGTTGGGGGAGGCACGTGGGAGCGGCATGGAGGACACGTCGTGGGTTTGTAGCTTGTACCAGTGTGGCTCATCATCCAGAAGTGCTGTCTCCAGCTCAATAAGGATCTGTGGGGGGTTAAGGTCACAATAAAGCATGTCTTCGCTCAAAATAGTTGCATATGAACATAATTTTCTCAATTATGAAATTATAGCAACTCACAAAGTTACAGTTACAGTTAGCCAAGATTAGTTATTCATAGCATTTTTACAGTTATGTAAAATATCTAAGCTCACTGTCCGTGTCAGACAAGGTCTGGACAACCAAAGCCTTTTAATGGACAAGAGCTTCATGAATGGCTTGCCCCCAATCTTGAGGATTAGCTGAGTGAGCATCAGTGAGTGTCCCAAATGGTTGGGCTTTGGTTTTCTTACCTCTCCCAGGAACTCGCTCTCCTCCTCCCTCACCCTGGCTTGGTCCCACAATGTGATCTCCAGCATGCGCTCCCGAAACTCCCGCCGGTGCACCGGCGAATACATAAAGGTCTGGTTCCATTTGGGCTCTAAGGATTTCTTTACCGTTTTTGTTCTCCTCTTGCTTTTGTCGCTGGAGGAACAATAATTCAAACTGTTTTTATTTACAACCATGATAGGGAACAGCCACGAATACAACAGATTAAAAACACGACACAGCACAGAACACATCACCCAGGCATGCTGATGATGGCAGTGAGATGGCAACAAGACTGTCCTAATTCCCAGAAAATGTCCACTTTCTTCATCAATGCTTAAGAAAGAACTGCTTAACAAGGTGCAAAGCTGCACAGAACGTCCAACAAAGTCAAAAGACACATCCACTAAATCCCTACAACTTTTTATGATGCTAATGTAGGGCTGCACCGAATATTTGTATTACTTTTCAAGATTAGACTACACTACACTATTTACAACTTCTTTGATCCAAACATCTATGATTTAAAAGGAAACATATGTACAACTTTAATCTGTTGAATAATTTTATGAAAATGTAGAATATTTGTTGATGATTTCTGAGTTGAAGTCATGTATAAAAGAAAACTTTAGTACCGTCCTGTTCTAATTGTTAAAAAACAATGACGCATAACATTTCAATATCACTGAACACAATCTATTTTCCTTAATCTCACTTTGTACTAATGTACACTGTCTTGGTGAGTGGAGTGAACTAATGTGACATTAAATGAGTGGGGGGTGTATACAATGCTAACTGTTTCTACTCTTACCTTCTATCGGGGAGGAAGTAGATTTTGACGTAAGGGTTCCTGGGGCGGCCGTCTTCCCTGGGGGGCAGGTCTTTGGCGCCCAGGATGGTGACAATTAGCTGATGGCCCACTTTGTCATACCATAGTTTGACCTGCAGGGGCAGAGCACAGACAGCTGCTGAGAGACGCTCAGGGCCAACAGGAAGGAGAACACAGAGAAGACCACTTCCTCCAATTAGAAATAAAGTTAGTGCATAGGTGTCATCATTTATTGAGTCTTCTCCTGTATTCACCCTTCAGGAAAAAGGTGGTATATGTCTGCCTGTTAAGATAATGTCAGGTCACATGCTTGGCAGCGCAATTTACAGAGCTTAAAGGGACAGTTGACCCCAACATCAAAAATACATTTGTTTTCTCTTATCGGTAGTGCTGTTTATATACCTGGACTATTTTGATGAGTTTTGATGAGATAGTTGAAGAGATGTCTGCGTTCTCTCTAATATAATGAAACAACATTGAACTCGGCTTGTGGGCTCAAAGGGCCAAAATGTCTCTTTTCAGAAGACGCAAATGTCAACCTTTTTATGAAAGGTGATACGGTTAAAATAAATAACTGCAGCAGGAATCTTGTCACAACAAGGTCTGTAGTTTATTCTGAAGGAGGCACTGCTGTTTAGGGTGAGAGCCATTTGCTGCATTATATTAGAGAGAAGGCAGACATCTTTATGGCTGATATCTCAAACTGTTTGCACTCACAACAAAACAAGCTAGCTAGATGAATAGCACTACAGGTCAAATGTATTTATTTTCATTTTGGAGTGAACTGTCCCCTTAAGTGCTCATTAAAACATGGACTCACTGTATCAATGTTAAAATTGTATGATAATGCTAATATATCAAAATCAGATATTAGGAACTTAGTGTCATTTTAGTTTGATGCGTTTTACAGCGTGATGCTATGTTTATGGATATTTTTTTCACTTTATTTTACGTGTTGTAAATGTATGTGTTCATCTTTCTAGTAGCCACTCCCCCTGCTGAGAGGAATGAAGCTCACTGAATGGTATTTTGACTGAAGTGATTTGCTGTGCTCTGTTGGTATGTCTACCTGTGAGGATGCTGCCTCTATTCATTAACTATCGGATATTCAATGGGCGTTCACATAAGGAAATCAATCATGCTGTTGCGTGAATTATTGAAGACATTTCACATTAAAAGGGAAGTATGGACTCCAAAAGAAGACACTTAGAAGAAGAAAAAACTCCAACTGAGGCCTTAGTAGATGAAATGAGAAATAAAACTTCTAAGCTTGTGTCCATACTTCTGTAAAATGTGATAATGGAAAAAAGGTCTGCACCAATTCAAAGTATCAGCTATACATGCAGCAACGCAAGAGAGAGCATTCAAGACAAGTCAAAAGATCTTCATGTAGGCAAAACAGACACTAGAGGGCTTATGGGAAAACAAATTGTACCAAATCTTCTCAAAACCTGTAGCCCACCAAATCACCAGATGCTGCAAAGCGAGTGTACTGTACAGTGATTGTGTTTGAATTTGTACAAAATATTCAGTAAAGATTCAGATTGAATTCTTATGGATTATATTATAAGTGGTAACACACGTGGTTCAAAAGTAACGTACTCAAAAATAAGTGGCTATGAAATGTGTCCATTTTAAAAATACACTAACAGAAACATACAAGCTTTACAAAAGTACACACAATAACACATACACACAAATAAAAACCTACTTGTACATTCAACCTCCATAAAATGTCATTACACCCCTCTTAATTTGAATACTCGCATCTCTATCTCGAGCCATTATAATAATGTATTGTGTGAGATCCAAACAAGGCTTGTTGATGGTAATCTTAACTCATCACATTAACATATTGTCAGCTGTAAGTATTAGTATAGAAACTAACCGAGCCAAGAAAATCAATTCAAAACAATTATTAAACAAAACCCAGAGAGAAGACTGATAATAAAGACGACAGAATAAGAGACCCCTTGAAGTGAAGGAAAACCTTCAACTCTTTGCTCCGTTTGGAATTTTCTATTTTGCAGGTACAATTTGCTTGAACTCTGGAAAGGAAATGCAAGTTGGTTTCCAGCACAGGACGGCAAACTTGTTTTTTTTTCACTGCAACATGAAACTGCAGACCAATCAACCATATGATGCTTGAGTTGCATAAGTTTAACTTGCACATGGAGCAGTTCTCCTGTACATGTGCGTAGGGCAGAGTTACAGGCCTGGGTTCATGTTACACTGAGGCAGAAAATAACTCAAGTCCTTTGTCCTGAGAAAGTTCAGGGAGACACCCTCCTGCATTTCCAAAGATCACATACGTCCAACACGAGTTATGGTGAAGTGTCAGATTAGGCAATGGAAGAGTGTCTCCTTAAATGTGTTTAGATTAGTTGAGCATGCATAACCTAGGAAAAAATGAGGTGGAAAATGATTTATAAGTCTTATCATAACAGTGATACCAAGAAATCAAACTGAAGAAAATGACACAATGCACTGCACTGAGGGAAACTTGAAGCTGCCATTTCCCCGAGAATGCATTTTCCAAAGTATGGAAACAGTCAACAGTCAATGAGCAAAGACCAAATAGAGATTGTGCCCTTCAGACGGGGCCCATTACCTGGACCCTAGGGGTAAAAGGCGTTGTTCTTCTACTAAGGCTTTGGCTCTGGATAAGCAAAATTAAACAAAAAAAAGGACAAGAAAAGAAACTGCAATAAAACCAAAACCCAACAAAACAGCAACACAAACTCACAATACACTCTTAACAACAACAGCAGTTTGTAGTTTCAGATGTTGGATTTGTTCTTATTTCCTTTTTAACTTTTGATGTAATGCTTTACTAGTTCTGCATTGGCTTTTTCTCATTTGAAATGCCACACAATCATTTTGAATATTTGACAGCTATAAAAGCGTCTGCGTAGAATCAGTCATTGGACATTAATGATCTTAGAGGGTTAATTCAATGCACTCAGTTTTTTAAATAATCGGTTGTTTCATGATTCTTTACATGCAGAACATAAAAAGGCATGATCCGGGCAAAATCTTGGGGTTTGCAAAACCCTCAAAGGATAAGTATATCATACAACCCCATTACAAACATCCCTTTACATTTAATATTTCTTGGGAAAAGCTACTACAGTCCACTACAGCAATCGGAACCATCCAATGTACCAAAGAAAACGTAACAATTGTAACATTTTACAATTGTGGTATGACATTTCAAACTAATGTAAATCAAACTCAACTATTTCTCATTCAAATATATATATTTTTTTAGCCTTTTCCCTACTGGACCCTACATTTAAGTGCTGATTTTATTCAGCCCTTTACCCATTTATCCCAGGAGAGCTTTTATACTGGATAATGAACAACACGTGGTAACCTGATCTACACGCCTGTACTGGGTTGGTAAAGGGCCAGCTCAACCGGCAGAGTAAGAAAAGCTCTGCCCGGTAACCAAATGATTTGAAACAGTATTTAAGGTATTATTTGAGTCCATTCCTAAATATAGTCAAATGGACTAAAAACCCATTAAAATGTTCATCAATTTAGTCTTTAGTGAGGATTTCACATAGTCTGTATGTCATGCTGAGGTCACTTACTGAGAGCTGACCTGACAGGTACTGGGGGGCGTCCCTCAGCATGCTGGGACTCATGGGGGACGTGACGGAGATGGACGGGCGATCCACCTTTTGAGACTCAAAAGAACTCGAACCTGACAGGGCAGGGACCACACGGTCAGATCAGGTAGTGAAGACGTTGGTTTTAATAACATCGAGAGATACAATGAGAGATGGGGGATGGTTGTGAGGAAGATAGAAAGACAATGACAAGAAGAGAGACAGAAAGAGGGCAAGAAAGCATGCCGTAAGAAAGACAGGGACACAGAGAGGCAGAGTGACAGAACTCTCAGAGACATTTCCTTCACTTGATGTTTCTAGGCTGATAATAGGATTACATGGGGTAATGAAATAGCTTAAAGATTCTGAGACTGAGACTCACTTGATTCCAGTTGTGCATGTGTGCTGTCTGGTATCCTTGGAATATCTCTGGAGAAAAAAAGAGTATGAGTGTGAGAGACAGGAGAGAGGGAAGGGGTGGAAAGGATCAATTGGTGCTACTGCTGACTGCACTGTGCTCTAATGAGCGCATTAGTCTTCATTCAGCAGCAGCTCCCTCAGCAGCACACAGAGGGTCAGCTATAGGATTGGTAAAGCAAAGATGTTGCTGTTTTCCACTCTTTACATTTGGAGTCAAAGCAAGGCAGCAGGCTGTCATTTTGCTGGGATGTGTTGGATTGGAAGGGGATAGATTCCCAAATGTTGAATAAAACAAGTACGCACCACTCATTAAAAAATATATTCTGTGGTAACACAAGCTCTCTTCACCTCGAGATGTCCTGAAGGCTCCATATTATAGTGAGCTCAGTAATGCAGGCAGTGACTTGACCTCAATGAGCCTAAAGACATAACAACTGCAATTGTTTTAAAGATAAAAATATCAATAAAAGTATTAAGTCACTAATGATGCAATTCCTGTTATATAAAATCACAGATTTGATTTGACATGTGATTATTAAATGTATCCTTTCCAACTGATTATTCGTTCTTCATGCTGAAAGAGGTCTGGAAGCTATGCCAGTTATCAATTTGTCAGAGGCAGGTTGACACTGTAGACAGGACAGATAAAGTAATCGTATTGTGTGCCAAACACAGCAGTTACGATCATATAATGCTGTGCGTGTGTGACAGTCACGGTGAGCTCTCACCCTATAGGCCGTGAGACCACCAGCTCCACCTGCGGCTCAGGCTTGGAGTCTAGAATGATATTGTAAACTTCTTTAAATGTGGCTCCTTGTAAAAGCTTCCCGTTCCACTCCAGCACCTGGTCACCTGCAAACACACCAGACACACAGGATAACGTTTTGCAGTGTAGAAAACACACCTCATCATGTGTGTGTGTGTGTGTGTGTGTGTGTGTGTGTGTGTGTGTGTGTGCGTGTGTGTGTGTCTTTAATACCTGGTCTGAGATGTCCAACAGTGTCTGCTAGACTTCCTTTCCTCACTTTAGTGATGAAAGCACAAAGTCTACCAGATTCTGTCATCTTGCCTCCCACCACCTGTAGGAGCAGATTAGCACTGGATTAGCACTGAAACACAACTTGATTTGTTAGTGTTATTATCACTGTGTTATTATTATGGGGACTTGCGAACCTCATGCCTCTCATGCAGCTTTCAGGAGAAAACCGATTGTTTTCCCCCAATGTATCCCAGTGATGTCATTGCTTTAGTGTTTGCCTGCGAGGTATGAATCCTCAATAAAAGCCTAGATTTTTTGTAATGTTTAAGGCTATGTTTTCTGCCCAGGGACACACTCAGTGGTTCTGTAACAGTGCAGGTCCGTGGGCTTCAGCTGTACTGTAAAGACCTGAGCTGCTGTACTCAGCTTACATGGGCATGATACAAATCAAAATCCCTCTTAATGGCAGCTGAATGCCAACATACAAAGGAGCTTAGGGAAGTCTGCTAAATGAAATGGCTTTATGTAACAGGCAGGAGCCGGAGAAGGAGGCTGGCAGTGAAAGAGATGGAGATAGAGAAAGATGGACAGTGGGGGGGGGGGGGGGGGGGGCTGGCAGCCTGACTGATGGACTGACTGGCTGCACTGCCGAGTTGGTTGTCTGCTGCTGAGCGGACAGAAAGCCACAGAGGCACTGAGCAGACACAAACATGCCGTTTCAGGAGGCTCATTCAATCAGTAATGATTTTCCCCGCCCTGCCGCTCTCAGTTCTCTCTCTGCATCACCCACCATGCTCCTCTGGTATTGGCTGCTCAGCTTTTCTTTCTTTTTTTACCACCTACAGATTAATGCAACAGTGAAAAGGGAAGGGAAACCAAAGCATTTACGACCATAGAAAGCTTTCTTTGGCAATGTAGTGACTATGCTGCAATAACAACATGGGTAAGAGGTAGGGCTGCAACTAATGATTATTTTCATTATCAACTCATCTGCAGGATATTTGATTTATGAATCGATGAATTGTTCGACTTAAAAAATGTCACTAAATAGTCAAACCATTCAATCCCAGTTTCTCAAAGTCCAAGGTAATGTCTTTAATGTTTTGTCTTAAACCCAAGAATCCACTTTGTTTAATAAAACTATGCAGTTATATGAGGAAGCTGGAAAAGGAGGAGCTTTTTTCAGTACTGCACGGTAGCTTGTGAATTGCACCAAGGAATTAATTAAAGTGTATCTACAGTATAATAATTAATTGCTTCTTGATTAAAGTAAATGAAGGTATAATATAAACTTAGTGAGTAAAAACTACAAAATGTGCCTCTGAGTTGTAGTGGAGGTGTATAAAGTAGCAGGAAATGAAAACAAATGTGTACAGTTCTTGATCAAATTAAACTAATTACTGTTAAACACTGAATAGGACAAAATGAAAAATATTTGAGAAACTTTCAACAGGATTTTCTGCAATTTTTTTGCAATAATAACTCCTCAATTAATCATGGATAATCAGATATTTGGTGAGTATTTTTCTTTTGAACGTCTAAATGATTACACTCATTTACATTGCAGTTCTTTACAAAGGTTTAAATTGAGTGAAGTAAGAATATGTCCTATAAAAGTATGCTTCACAGTACTAAAAGCATAGGAAACATATACACAGCAAACATATCGTTTAAATTCCTAGTGGAATGTGATACTATTCAAAATGTGTGCAGTGACGACACTGACAGGACTCGTTTCCTCTGCGCTGCTGAATGCAGTTCATTAAAGTAGTTCAATGTGAGTGAGTTCAGAGAATTATACGGCTCAATATTAAACGATGCTCATTAATATTCATCAGGGACATAATCAAGTCTTTAATGAATATTATTACTGAGTAGCACTATGATGTTATCGATAATTGGAAAGCCAAGGAGAAAATCAGCACACACAAAAAAAGGCCACAAAATAGTAGAAAGACACTGTATGTTCACATCAATGTACAACCAACACTGATGATCAGCTGGACCTGTCAAACCTCCCCAGAATCCCTGGGTCTGCTTCCACTGAAGTCCATAACCAACATTTGTGATAAATGTGCATATTTTAAAGCTGCAGTTGGTAGCTTTCATAAATGTACCTTTTGTCATTCTGATATTGTGACTGTAGTTTATGAGACTGTTACAAAATATCATGTTCCTTTGCCTCCCAGAATTTGGAATTTGGAGTCCTCTGCCAATCAGAGCAGAAGATACTCTAACGTATCTCTAGGTTTCAATCACTGCTTGTAAACCCCAATCAAAATGTGAAATGACGCAGTGCTGGTTAAACATACAACAGTAAATAAAACAGCCACAGCTAAACGATGCACTGAAATATGTTTTGTGAAAACGTTTTGTTAAGTTGCCTCTTAGCATGACTCTCTCTGTACATTTACGTTCCTCTGGTAAGCAGTCATGCTGCGTACATGTCGAGGGCTTTTATTGTGAAGGGTAAGAACAGAAGGAGGGGCGCACACGGCGTGTGCCACACGCTGTTGACAACGTGGGAGCAATAAAGAGTTTGCCGTCTTGGTGTGGACGACAGATCCTCCGTATTCTTTTTAACAACCTTCCTAAGTATAGGCACGACTCAGAGCCCTCGACCATGCTGAAGTTATGTTGACTGCAGAGTACAGTGATCCTTTACCTTAATACTTTTAGAGATTCTTTGGCTGTGATTGTTTGTTTGTATAAAATGTATTTAAGTTATGTAGTATTGAATATGTTACCAAACTGCAGCTTAAACACATGAGATCTTCAGACACACACAGACAGGTAGAATGAGCTCACCTTTAGACCAAGCAGAGCTCCTGAGTCTCGAGGCACACTTCCATCTTTCATGCGCTTGTTGAGTAAAATACGCCCTATTAGGCGATCCCCATCTTTGGACGGCTGCCACGTCACCGGGTGCTACAAGGTCAGAGCAACACACACCTATTGTTAACAACTCATCCGCTTGCATGTGATTACATTAGACCCAAGCAGACAACTGTCCATAGTGAAAAGGGTGCATGGGGAGAGCATTTATTCACTCAGGGAAGAGAGTTCACACAAACTCTGTCGCCCTCATCAATTGTTAAATGTTTTATCTAGCAACACGCTCAATTATTTACTTTTTAAAAGACGGGATATTGAATTGCTAAGAGAATCATGGACGAACTATTGATGAAGAATAACATCCAACACAACAGTGAAAGGTGTTATTTCCAGAGCTTGTGTGAACATGCCAGTGTGAAGGTGGAGTTAGCTTCATGCAGCGCCCCATGCAGAGTAAAGCAAGCAGCCCCAACCCTCCACCTCCAACCAGCTCTTCAAAGTGGAGCAGGAAGACCGGAGTCTCACTACACACAGACATACAACCATCATCAGGTGGAGGAGTGAGGGGAAAGCAAACTGTGAAAAAGGGGGGGGAAAAGGTCATCTATGATGCAAGAACAAATGAGGTAGTCCAGTTCAAAGATTAAAAAAAGAATGGAAAATAGAGCGCATGTATTAAAGCCATGAGACACAGAGAGGGTGAAATCACAGACGCGCAGTGGAAGGGAAAAAAGAAAAACATATGTTTTCATTTTTGGTGCAAAACAAATCAGTCTTCCCTGTTTTGTGTGCTTACAATCATTTAGGTTTGCTAAAGAGGTGAGTGGAAAGTTAGGCAAGGGGCGGGTTCTGTCTGGACTGGGTGCTGTGGGGGGGGGGGGGGGGGGGGGGGGGGCAGCAGAGTGAGAGGGTCGGCCCTGAGTAAAGATGTTTCCTATGACACTAAACAGGACCGCTGCAGAGCAAGAACACAACATACGGAGGAGAACGAGCATGCAACTAGGAGAGACCCACATTCCTGTGTGCCATGACAAACAGAGAGGTTGTGTGTCAATGCTAAAACTACTGTAAGATGTGTTGTTTCTGTTTGGGGAGCAAAACAGCAAGTACAAGTAGCAAGCAAAGAGGGTGCCCCCAAAAGACTTTTTCGGCAACACCGAGCAAGGTGGAGCCAAAAGTAACCGAAAAAACAAAAAAGGAACGAAATCGCAAGAGAAATCAATTTATACAAACGTCAAATAAAAATCCAAAAAACAAACATCTCACCTATTTACACTGAGTGACAGAGCAAAACAAAGACTGGATGGGTAGGTTAAAAATAATAATAACAAAATGCAGGCTAGATTGTCTTAGTACCTTCTCACTATGGCTATGCTCCTCGTTTAGGGTAGTGCTACTGCACGTATCAACTCCCGAGTCTTTAACCTGCGGTTCACACCATGCCAAGTCCTCTTCAAATGAGTGTCCCCCAAAGCGCACCATTTTCTTTTGCCTCTCAGATAAGGTGTGTGTCGGCTCGGACATAAATGTCTGCTCAATTGTTTTTCTTTTTCCCCTTTGACTGTCCCCTACAGGTGTGGGATAAAAACAGAAAGAAAACAGAAAAACAACATGCAAAGGTGTAAATAAAACGAAGGAAACATGAGATGACAAAAGACTCTGGTAGAGGGGGGGATGGGGGGGGAGAGAGACAGAGAGAGGGAGAGAGAGATGGGGGGTTAGGGAGGGACGGGAGAGGGGGGAGGTCAAGGCAGGGCTCCACATGTCTCACCAAAGACATTGGGGAGGCCTCACTGCTATGCCAAGAAGCATGGTCCCACCAATGGCCATCCAAATCTCCTGTAAGGTGGGGGGGGGAAAGGACGCACACACAAGAAAGGACATCGAGAGGGACCAGTGAGGACACAAATAACAACAGACAGTAACCGCCAGACAAACGTACACACATAATACATACATACAGAAGCAAACAAGACATCCAAACAATCATATTTGCAGACACACACACATACACACACACACACACACACACACACACACACACACACACACACACACACACACACACACACACACACACACACACACACACACACACACACACACACACACACACACACACACTCTCACATACTGTAAAACTCAAAGCTGGTCAGCATGTGAACCTCTAAGATCCCTCTGGAGAAAGAAAGACGCAGCTCAGGTCAATAACAATGTGACCACCTCCACACAGGCCGCCATTCTTCCTTTGGACATTCATTTAGGGGGCTTCGACCCTGCGTCCGCCACAGCAGGGACGGAGCCCCAGTACACGCTCTGCCAGCTCTTAACACTATACATTTGATGCTCATCTTTTCCTTGTCTTTCCTACAGGAAAGAGTAAATCCCACCATTTTGTTCAGGATTTGCACAATTGTTATCCATGAATTCATGATCTTGTGAATCTAGCTTGCCACAACAAATGGAATGTGACTGCAGATAGGAAGGGGGAGTCAAGAAACAACTGTATCAGCGACAGCAAGAAATTAGGTTTATCGAAAATGGGTTCTTCATTAAGAGAAAACCTACAACTTCCAAATTACACTGATCTGGAAAATGCCATATTTTGAATGATGTGTTACTACCTTGATGCATCACAAGATAAAATGCAACAAGATCTGGGAGGCTAAGGAACAAAGCTACAACTATGTCCAGGCACACTAATGGCTACTTCATGCAACTGTAATACAGGTGTGTATTTCCTTACATTTCATCAAAGATGCAAACACAATCAGAAAGGAGTTCTAATCAAAAATTAAGAAGAATAGTTCAACTAATATTTATATGTCCACTGAAACAACATATTTAACAACAATCTCTAAAAGCTCTTTATAGATGCCTAAGTTTAAATCAGCAGACAACTAACATTTTGCTCAAACAAAGTAAAGTGCTATCTTATCATACAGTAGCTGCATCTGTGGGCGGGAGCAGAGCAGAGCACCACTCTAATGTGTTTAACTGGGGATTCAGGTTGCAATGCCACACACCCTTAACTGACCTCAATCTAAAGTGCACCAGGGAGAGCTTTTAAAGATGAGGCTCTGATTGCAACTTCTGGAGCAGCACTAGTGGACAGCCTGGAGAAGATACAGGCTGGGCAAACTGCTTTAATGTTATTACAGGATGGAGGTTTCTGGGACATGTCTTTTAACTTTTTTTATTTTCTCATCAATCCAGCTGACGGCTTAGTGTAGATCTGACGACTCCAACATCGTTGGCCTCCTCTCCAACGAGGACGACAGGGAGTACAGGGAGCTGACGCAGGACTTCACCTTCTGGTGCCAGAGGAACCAGCTGAACGCAGCGAAGACCAAGGAGCTGGTGGTGGATTTCAGACGGCGCCAACACCTCCCCCCCCGACACCAGTGAACATCCAAGGAGCGGACATTGAGATTGTGAAATCTTACAAATACCTGGGTGTTCATCTGAACAATAAACTGGACTGGACTGATCATTCTGCTGCTCTGTACAAGAAGGGACAGAGCAGACTCTTTCTGCTGAGGAGACTGAGGTCTTTCTGGGTGCAGGGGGCACTCCTTCAGACATGTTATGACTCTGTTGTGGCATCAGCCATTTTCTATGGTGTGGCCTGCTGGGGCAGCAGCTTCTCGGCTGCTGACAGGAAGAGACTGAACAGACTGGTAAGGAAGGCCAGCTCTGTCCTGGGGAGTCCTCTGGACACTGTGGAGGAGGTGGGAGACAGGAGAATGGCAGCCAAGCTGTCCTCCCTGCTGGACAATGTGTCCCACCCCTTCCAGGACACCCTGTCCTCACTGTGCAGCTCCTTCAGCGATAGGCTGCTGCACCCCCGCTGTCTCACGGAGAGATACCGCAGGTCTTTCCTTCCTGCAGCGGTCAGACTATACAACCAGCACAGCCCCTTGTAGACCCCCCCCCCCTCCCCTACACACACCACAACACAGACTATATCACCCCTTGCTGCTGAATACCAATCAACTATGTGCAATATGTGCAATATATATATGCCGTTAATAACTGTGTAATTGGCTGCTAAATCCTTAGAACCGTTACAAGGTGTGTTTTTTGCATTTTGTATTTTGTAAATTGTGTAACTTGCTGCTGTTAAATACCATCAAACTATGTGCAATATGTGCAATATGTGCAATATATACATTATATACATATGACATTAATAACTGTGTAATATATACCTGGCTGCTAAATCCTAAGAACTGTTGCAGGATTTGTATTTTGAAAAGTATTTTTTTTTACTTTATTTTTGTATTATATTTTTTATTATATCACAACTTAGTACTTTTTTGAACATATGTAACATTAAGCTGTCTGTGGCTCTTTGCTGCTGTAACGATGCAAATGTCCCCTCTGTGGGACTAATAAAGGTATTCAGATTCTGATGCTGATGTTGGTTAGCTTACAGAGTGAACCAACACCTCTAAACCGATTTCTTGCTGCAGATGTGATGCTTAGGTCAACCCTGGAAGAGATGACAGATATTTGATGAGATCAATTCACATTATTTCTTCTGTTGGAGACTGAGAGCTACATATGCAAAACCAACCTGTTCAGAGAGAGCACATTCAATTTGATTCAGAGGCTTAAAAAAAAGTCAAGCTAATTAGAATACAAGAAAGATATTAAATCTGAATGTGGTGTTTAGAAAATCGAGGTAAAGGGGAATAAAGGTTTGTCCTGAGACCTGAGTGTGTGACATAAATCTGTTTTTAACACCTTGTTATTTAGGGAAAAGGACATTCATAGTTATTTGATGACTCAAAGTACAGTTAACGAATGTGTACTGTTGTTGATATGTTGCTTGCTTGCATGTATGTATGTAGGGAAAGGAAGGTTATCTGAAAACCCTGCACTTGTTCAGCCTGTGCACTTCCCCTGCAAAGAGCTGTATAACTTAATGGATCTACACAGGCAGGCCTCCTTCAAGCATTATCTTGCTGAGGATTCAATCTCAAGGAAAACAGCGAACTCTGATGGAAAGGCATACAAATAGCCTACATATGCGTCTGAATGCAAAAGAGGAGGCGGTGGTGGAGGGGGGGATTACAAGGGTAAAAAAGGAAGGGATTTTCAGAACAGAAAAAGCCGCATAGAATAAGAACACTGTGTAAAGTTGTGCCACTGTGAATAAATATAGCCCCATTTGTGAGTCTTCTAACTTGGCTGATGTTAGGACAAAACATTCTCACCAAAAAGATATTTCTTTATGGCATAAATAATGTTTTGAACAATTTAAGTTTTTCCTTTTGGCGTTGTCCATTGTTAATCCTAGTATGAATGAGAAGATGTAACCTAGCAAATGAGTTGCTAATGTTTAGCGATACTATTAAAAACAACTTAATTGGAAATAAATTAAAACATATTGAGAAGAAAAAGCACAACTGAAAAAAATCACTGGCCTTATCCGTCTGGATCAATATGGTGTTCGTATCTTGCTTTTATTTTATTATATAACAACTTACTTTGTCTCCTGGTACAACCGGCCAATTGTGTCTAATATGGCCTCTGATTTCTTACCTTGCATGATTCTTTTTTTTCTTGCCTCGTTAATATATGTGGAACTATCTTCTAATAAAGTCACATTTTGTGTCTATTCTTGATTTGGCATATATTTTGTAGCATAATTCTACCTAGCTTTTGAGTCTATTGTGCAATATAGTTCCAGTTGTGTACTTTCATTTTCACAATGCACATCATTATTATTTGACTTTGCACTTTCTGGTGATGTTAAACGTATTAACCTCCAGCATCAAGGACTTTTTTATTAATATCCACATTCAAACCAACCAGAGTCATTTCCACACTTACAATTGTATCATATTCAAAGTTGCAAGGTCAGTCGGAGCCAAACAAACCGTCCTCCTTCCCTCCCTGCTCTTTCTCTAAGCTATCACTATCCATCCGTCAGTGCAGGGGAGTGCTAAAACGACTTACTGTACACAGTTATGCACTGTGATAAAACATTATGGGTGTCTCCAGACAGGCTTTGCCCTCCGTGGCCCTCTAACCAACAGCTGACAACAGTGATTACCCTCTTTGCCTCCCAGCTGCTATCCTGTCAGCAGCACAAACTCCAGAGCCCAGTTCAGCGCCGTGCACACTCTCCATTGAACGAGTCACTTGCCCTAATGTGGCCATGATAGTCCAAACAGCTTGAGGCCTGCATTTATGATCAAGGAGGGAAACATCATGTAGATCACCTTCAGGTAAGACAGTGGGATGGTTGCATATATTTGGGTACCTTAAAAGCCTTACAAAAAGGGCAAATGTAATTTACTTTGCTCAGATTGCACACAAATAATTCCTTGATTTTGTATGTTAAAGAGATTCTTATAAATGAAAATGCACATCCCACTGTTGTATGAAAAGACACACAATACATCCCAATATATAAAAACGCAAGCCATGTATCATGATTTGTATTGTATCGCCTGATTCTTGCCAATAGAGAGCTCCCATTGTTAAAACAGTGTGATGTTAGCATTTTATATATTTAAATGTGGTTTAAAAGCAAATTCCTTGTGTGTTTAAACAT